CTCATGAGCACAATTAAGTGTTCTGGAATTCCCATTCTTTGCAATGTTATCCATAATTTGTTATGATCCACACAGTCGAATGCCTCTGCATAGTCAATAAAACACCGGTAAACATCCTTCTGGTATACTCTGATTTCAGCCAGGATCCATTTGACATCAGCAATGATATCCCTGGTTCCACATACTCTTCTGAATCCGGCTTAAATTTCTGGCAGTTCTCAGCTGAAACTTGTCCACCATAGGTGACCCTATTGGTATTTGAATACTGATGGCATAGCTTCCAGCATCACAGCAACAAGCAAGCCCCCAGAGTACGGGAAACTGACAGATGCATAGGGGTATTAGTCATTAGGGAAATGGAAATCAATACGTCAATGAGACCCATTTCACACCTACTAGAATGGCTAAAGAAGCCTTGGTAGTGCAACGGTTAAGCACTCAGCTGCTAACCCAAAGGTTAGTGGTTATGGTTACAGTCTACCCAGCTCTGAGGAAGAAAGACTTGGCAATCTGCTCCCATACAGCTTACAGCCTAGGAAACCCTATAGGGCAGTTCTACTCTGTCACATGGGGTCTCTATGAGTTGAAAATTGACTTGACGGCACCTAACAGCAACATTAGAATATATAGAATGCATATGTGTATGTATATATACATATATTTGGTGTCCTAGTGGTACAGTCCCCAACGTGTCTGTACATTTGTCAGAATGTGGGGGCTTGCGTGTTGCTACGATGCTGGAAGCTACACCACTGGTATTCAGATACCAGCAGGGTCACCCATGGTGGACAGGTTTCAGCTGAGCTTCCAGACTAACACAGACTAGGAAGAAGGAGCCAGCAGTCTACTTCTGAAAAGAATTAGCCAGTGAAAACCTTATGAATAGCAGTGGAACACTGTCTGATATAAGCCAGAAGATAAGCCCCCCACGTAGGAAGGCACTCAAAAGACGACTAGGGAAGAGCTGCCTCCTCAAAGTAGAGTCGACCTTAATGACGTGGATGGAGTCAAGCTTTCGGGACCTTCATTTGCTGACATGGCACGACTCAAAATGAGAAGAAACAACTGCAAAAATCCATTAATAATCGGAACATAGAATGTACGAAGTATGAATCTAAGAAAATTGGAAATTGTCAAAAATGAAATGGAACACATAAACATCGATATCCTAGGCATTAGTGAGCGGAAATGGACTGCTATTGGCCATTTTGAATCAGATGATCACATGGCCTACTATGTTGGGAATGACAAACTGAAGAGGAAGGGCTTCATGTTCATCATCAAAAGGAACATTTCAAGATCTATCTTGAAGTACAACGCTGTCAGTGATAGGATAGTATCCATATGCCTACAAGGAAGACCAGTTAATATGACTATTATTCAAATTTACGCATCAACCACTAAGGTCAAAGATGAAGAAACTGAAGATTTTTATCAGCTTCTGCAGTTTGAAATTGATCAAACATGTAATCAGGATGCATTGATAATTACTGGTGATTGGAATGCGAAAGTGGGAAACAAAAAAGAAGGATCGGTAGTTGGAAAATACGGCCTTGGTGATAGAAATGATGCCAGAGATCACATGATAGAATTTTGCAAAACCAATGATTTCTTTATTGTAAATACCTTTTTTAACCAACATAAATGGCGACGATACATATGGATCTTGCCAGATGGAATACACAGGAATCAAATCGACTACATCTGTGGAAAGAGACAATGGAAAAGCTCAATATCATCAGTCAGAACAAGGTCAGGGGCCGACTGCGGAACAGACCATCAATTGCTCAGATGCAA